TGCTTGAAGTAAAAAACGTAGTTTTTTTGAATCTGCAACAGAAAATAATTATTCTAGGAACAGGAAAATTTGTCAGGTTTGGCAAGCAGGTGAAGAACAAAAAAAATTTGAATGAGGAGACTTAGACGTGGTAGACGTGAATTGTCGGTCTGTTGGCGAATGTTACGCCTCCTCCGTCTTCCAGCAGCGGGTGCCGTGCTCGTGCTCGGCTGTGGCTGGTCCTGTTGTTGAGGCTCGTCGGGTAGGTCTTGGTGCGGAGTCTGTCCTGGAAGCTGATTCATGTCCTCCGGCAGTATGTACGCTGGTTTCAGTCGGTCGATGGAGATCGGTGTGTTCTTGTAGTTTCCCAAACCTCCGGACTTGAACCAGATGACGAAATATTTGTCATGGCAACTGATGACGCGAAATGGGCCGGTATGGTGGTCGGTATGCCATTCGCACGTGGTCATCGCGAACGAAAACATGCGTACACATTGATAAGTACTTGAAGATGAGCGTTGAACGTATACCATGGTGTGCAGCCGGAAAAGGCGCGATTGTACGAAAATATTTGCGTAGATTTCTCACCAATTCCGGTGCTGCTGTTTATTAGTTTTCTAGCACGAGGAACTCTCGGGGTAGACGGATAGGTTCCCCATACGTTAGTCCAGCAGGGGTCATTTGAAGGTCGTCCTTCCACGCGGATCTTAACCCTAAAAGTACCAGGGGAAGTGCGTCGAACCAAGCTTCGCCGTGACATCGCAGTGCTGCTTTTAGTTGACGATGTAGCCTCTCCACCAAACCATTTGATTGAGGGTGAAAAGGCGTTGTTATGATCCTCTTGGTGCCTAGGATTCGCGTGAGCTCCTTGAACGTGTCTGAGAAGAATTGACCACCTTGATCAGACGAAATTCTCAGAGGTATTCCGAAGCGGGCGATCCGGTGGTAGAGAATCGCGTTAACTACTGTAGGCAATTTTGCATCAATCAATGGAACTGCCTCTGGATACCGCGTGAATCGATCGACGATGGTCAAACACTAGCTGTGTCCTTGTGAGGCAGGAAGAGAGATAAGATCGACGTGTATGTGTTCGAAAGGTCGCGATGGTGTCTCGATTTCAGCTATTGGTGTAACCTTTGTTTTTCTGGCATTCCAGGCAGTGTTTGGTCCACTCAAAGCAATCATTATTCATGCTGGGCCAGACGTAGCGTTGCGTGACGAGTTCCCATGAACCTCTGCATCCAGGAAGCGCCATTGAGGGCAGCGAGTTGAATACTTGTTGTCTCAGCTGGCCAGGCACATATGGGCGCACTGTACCTGATGACACATCACAGTACAGTGGTTCGTCCATTCCTGGAAGTTGTAGTCGGTCCAGTCGTAGATTCACGTCCGGTCACTGGAGTAGCCGTTGAAGCCCTTGGTCGTCGCGTTGGGCATCTATGAGCTGTTACATTGTGACAGTGGTTGAGACGGCTTCGACTCGTGACAGAGCATCTGCCAAGACGTCTGGGCCCGCGACGTACCGGATGTCCGTAGAGAACTGTGCGATGTAGTCCAATCTTCGCTATTGCTGGTATTGGTATTGGTATTGTAAGGAATTTCTATGGTTCATACTGTCAAACTGTTCATTTCCAATCAAAACAATAGACGAACATTTTTAAAAAATGTCCATTTCTTAGAAGGTCGAAGTAAAGAGAATGCCCCATATATCCCCAAACTCAACTCTGAACCCTCGAGAATGTCAAATGGAACAAGAGAGCCTCGTACGGTCACCCCTTGACAGTTCTTATCTGTATCCAAAAACCCGCCCCATCCGCCCCAAACACGCCAATACTGATTTCTTAACTCTGACGGCAGGTAAGAGTTCAGAGAACACAGTAAACCTCCCCTCCCCGCCCCAGAAAAAAAAAAATAATGATCAACAATAAAAATACTGGACTCTTAACTCTGACGGCAGGTAAGAGATCAGAGAACACATGTAAACCCCCCGCTCCTCCCCAGAAATGAATAAATAATAATCAACAATAAAAAAACTGAACTCTTAACTCTGACGGCAGGTAAGAGTTCAGAGAACACATGTAAACCACCCCCCCCCCGCCCCTCCCCAGAAATAAATAAATAATGATCAACAAAGAAAAAACTGAACTCTTAACTCTGACGGCACGTAAGAGTTCAGAGAACACATGTAAACCCCCCTCCCCCGCCCCTCCCCAGAAATAAGTAAATAATAATCAACAATAAAAAACATGAACTCTTTACTCTGACGGCAGGTAAGAGTTCAGAGAACACATGTAAACCTCCCCTCCCCTCCCCAGAAATAAATAAATAATGATCAACAATAAAAATACTGATCTCAACTCTGACGGCAGGTAAGAGTTCAGAGAACACATGTAAAACCACCCCCCCGCCCCTCCCCAGAAATAAATAAATAATGATCAACAATAAAAATACTGGATTCTTAACTCTGACGGCAGGTAGGAGATCAGAGAACACATGTAAACCCCCCGCTCCTCCCCAGAAATAAATAAATAATAATCAACAATAAAAAAACTGAACTGTTAACTCTGGCGGCCGGTAAGAGTTCAGAGAACACATGCGAACCCTCCCGCCCCTCCCCAGAAATCAATAAATAATGATTAACAATAAAAAAACTGAACTCTTAACTCTGACGGCAGGTAAGAGTTCAGAGAACACATGTGACCCTCCCCCTCCCCAGAAATGAATAAATAATAATCAACAATAAAAAAAACTGAACTGTTAACTCTGGCGGCAGGTAAGAATTCAGAGAACACATGCAAACCCCCCCGCCCCACCCCAGAAATAAAAAAATAATGATTAAACATAAAAAAACTGAACTCTTAACTCTGACGGCAGGTAAGAGTTCAGAGAACACATGTGACCCCCCCCCCTCCCCCGAAATGAATGAATAATAATCAACAATAAAAAAACTGAACTCTTAACTCTGGCGGCAGGTAAGAATTCATAGAACACACGCAAACCCCCCCTCCCCTCCCCAGAAATCAATAAATAATTATTAACAATAAAAAAACTGAACTCTTAACTCTGACGGCAGGTAAGAGTTCAGAGAACACATGTGACCCTCCCCCTCCCCAGAAATGAATAAATAATAATCAACAATTAAAAAAACTGAACTGTTAACTCTGGCGGCAGGTAAGAATTCAGAGAACACATGCAAACCCCCCCGCCCCATCCCAGAAATAAAAAAATAATGATTAAACATAAAAAAACTGAACTCTTAACTCTGACGGCAGGTAAGAGTTCAGAGAGAACATGTAACCCCCTCCCCCAGAAACGAACACATGTAAACCCCACCCCTGCCGTCCCCATAACAAAATAAATAATGATCAACAATAAAAATACTGGACTCTTAACTCTGAAGACTATTACGAGTTCAGAGATACCCCTAGAATCCGACATAGAATCCGACATAACCCCAACTCTGACCGAACTCTGAACTTTCTCTGAAATCATGGAAATATTCAAGAGTTCAACTCTGAAATCAGTCCGCTAGGGTTAATTCTCCTTCAACATCAATTATCAAAAAACTTCGATTAATATTGTGGGTGGAAACCGTCTGAAAAAATCTCATGATGTGAAGAAAGACCTCGAAAAATTACTGAACGAAAAATACCATAACAGTAAAGTCATTTATACAGACGGTTCTAAAAAAGACCTTCGTACTGGTTCAGCAGTTTGGTGTCCAGACCTAGATTTTAAGAAGAAAATAAGGTTATACCAATATAACTCGATTTATTACGCAGAATTAACAGCTATAAAGGAAGCCCTATTATTCATAATGGACTCAGAGATTGAGAAAGGACTAATAGTCTCTGATTCTAAATCCTCCTTGGTTGCCATCTCCTCAGGAACAATTCATCGATACGATTTGCTGTTGTACGAAGTTAATGACTTATTGAGTTAGCCGATAATAATGTTGAAGTAGAGTTTTTGTGGGTCCCATCTCATGTGGGAATAGTAGGAAATGAAACTGTTGATGAATTAGCCAAAGAAGCATTAATGGAGCCTAGTAGCGAGGAATTAATATATCAATGTACAGAACTAAATGAAAAATTTAAAAAACAACTTCTAGTTGCGTCTTACGACCATCTCAGCTCAGTGGATAAACATAAGGGAGAGAAGTATTTCAAATCCCAAAATGAACTCAAAAACAAATGCTGGTTCCAGGGATTGAATCTGAATAGGCACCAAATAACCTTGATTAATCGCATACGGAGTGGCCATTCCTTACTACGTAAACATCTATTTGACAAAAATATTATTAGAAGTTCTGAATGTGATTGTGGATATGCAATAATGGACATTAACCATATTGTTTGGGATTGTTCTAATATTTCTGCAACAGACAGAATTAAATTCTTCTCTTTAATTACGAAATTAGGTGTTCAAATTGACTCGGATGTGCAATTAATTTTTTTGGAATCACCTCTGAGTGTTATTTTACCCTTTGTTAAATTTTTGATGGATCACAAAGATATAAAAATCTAGTTGAGCTATTAAAAAGAGGGGCAAAATAGTAACAAATAATTATAATAAAGAATAATTGAGCGAATAATGACAAATCAATGCTCAACTGAATAATTGAAGGGATTAAATTATAGTGAAGTGCATGTGTTAAATGTGATAAGTGGGAAGGGGGCAATGAAATGGGGGGAAGAGAGTGGTTATGAAGGAGCCTCTCTCCTTTCTCTGTACTGTTTGGATTGCTCTCTCTCTCTTGGCAACCTTCAAGTGCAATATTCAAAGAAAGTTTATATATTAAGAAAACATTTATCTAAATCAGTTATTTAATGGACAAGGAAATAATATTGTTTGAAATTATTCGAAGCATCAACAAAGCCATCTTCTATCACCTACAGAGGCATCTTCAGTTAACTATTGAAACAAGCTTCAGAAAAAGGCACATATTCCCATTAGGGTTTCTAGCCAACAAGGAAGAAGAATATGCGTCTGGAGTATCCCTACTCTCCTTATTGGTTACGTTCCCTGAAAAAGTAAAACAATTCGTAAATAATCATTATTTGATCGAATAAACTCTGGAAAATATTGAAAATTAAATATAGACAATTAGTTTTTTTGAGGATTTTAGACATCTGTTCGCTCTCGTTCCACAAAGATCTTTTATTGCGCCCATTAGAAATGCAAATGACGGAATTACACATTTTCTCGAAACAATCATCTTAGTCCAGACAATCCAGAAACCTCCTTCACAGTTCTTCCAAAAGTCATTCAAAGGAAGTAATCATTTTGTTGCCTTCGAGGAAGATGCCTTCGGCTCCCCAACGAAAAGGTCGCTTTGAGATATACCTCGTCAAAGGCATCGTCATCTCCCCAGAAAATTGATATCTTTTTGGCATAAAGAACACGATAATTTCTTGGTAAAGACAATAAGTGACTTTCAGGTGTTTTGTAACAGTCTGTCTTACGGTTATCCACAAAATAGACCTCTTTTAGGTGTCAAAAAACTCGATATCCGAATGAAAGATAACACTGAGGCGCCATGTTCTAGTCTATTGAATTGATATCAGTTTATATTGATACCAAAAAATAGCTATCAAAAAGGGACGGTCATATTAATAACTTTTAGTCGTCGTTAAGACACCCAACCAGCACAGTTCTGGAGGGTATCTACAAGTATACCAAAAAGGCTGTCTAATGTCTGTCCAAAAAGGTAACTTGTGTCTAGAAGTTACCTAGAAGTTAACTAAAAGTTATCGTATGACTGCAAGATACCTTTTGAACGGACATTAGTCAGCCCTTTTGGTATTCTTTCAGATATCTTTCGCAAGGTTTGCTACTTGGGAATGGAGGAGCCTAACTCCAGACTCTGTTCTTTTTCAACCAATGAAACGTTAACTGACCGTCTTCGAGACGTCATGACCGAAAAATTGGCTTCAAAAACGACTGATTTTCAATTAATTATCGTAAGACCTTTAGGCAATATTTCTCCACAATTAGAAAGAATTGAGCTTCATGCAAGTTCCCTATTCCGACCTCTTATTTCATCTCTTGTTATCTTCATTTCATTAAGTCCTATGTCAAATTGAATGAAAATGCATGACTCTAGTTATGCAATTGTTTAGTAATAATTATTAACATTGAGAATAGTTAATGGAAATTATTTCTCCAATATCTTCTAAAGAAGAAGGATTTTTAAAAAATTCATTGAGATTTTTTTTGTGAAAATTTCATGGTCTTCTCTATGAATTCCAAATTTTGTAGATAATGCCCTATTATTAACGAAGATTTAAAAAGGTGAAATATATTCATGATGGACAATGATCAAGAGAAACAGCAGTTTTAAGAAGAAATCTTCATCAACTCTATAATTTTAAATAAAACCCATAAAATATCAACTTCTGCTGGTTGGCAGCATTGCAAATTTTTTTGTTATTCACAGTTGGTTAAACTGATTCTCCATGCTCCTCCTCAAGCGTTACACCATCTTCAAGTTTCATGTCAAGTTTCCACATGGATTATTGACATATTTACCTTGAAATAGTCTCAGAAACGTCTTTATATTACCGTTGAATAACTGATAAAATTTTTTTAATAATTGATTCATTAATCAGGTAATTATTTCACTCGTATTGTCATAATTATGAGGTCGACACAATTCCTTAACCTACATGCTAACCTAAAAAATGATGATGGTGTTCGGCGTATGATTTGTGCAATCGTCGGGTAAAAATTTATTAATGTTACAGGCAAAATGGTACTGTCGTGTCGATTTTATAAGGAAAAATATCCTGAGGTCGAGGATGTTGTTATGGTTAATGTGCGCAGCATCGCCGAGATGGGAGCTTATGTGCATTTGTTGGAATATAATAACATTGAGGGGATGATTCTCCTTTCTGAGTTGTCCAGGAGGCGTATTAGATCCATTAACAAGCTCATTAGGGTGGGAAAAACCGAACCGGTTGTTGTTATTCGAGTTGATAAGGAGAAAGGTAGTCAGTTATTACTATTCAGCAGTTTTCGTTGTTATTGTTGCTTAAACCTTCATTTTTCCTATCTTCATTTGAGTTGCTATGAAGTAATAATACTTTTTGAAACTCTATTTCACGAAGTTTTGAATTAATGTGATTAATTTTGAACAATACATTAAGTTACAACTTTCTTCATCCAATACTGTAATTTGCCCAAATTTGTTTTTATATAGTGATGGATCATTTTACCTGGTGCTTTATTTTTGAATGTCATTTTTGGAATTATCACATCAGTTGAGTGAATTACGTCCAAGCTAAATTCAATACAAGATTTTTATGTTATAAATTCATGAATTTTCATATCACTTTCTAAAACTGGAGTAATATTTCACATTTAAATAACTAGATTTATGGAATCATTTGTTCGCAGGTTACATTGACTTGAGTAAACGTCGAGTGTCCCCAGAAGACGTTGAGAAATGTACAGAGAGATACGCAAAAGCTAAGGCAGTGAATTCAATACTGAGACACGTTGCTGAACTATTGCACTATGATAGCGACGACCAACTGGAAGAGTTGTATCAGAAGACAGCGTGGCACTTCGAGGAAAAGTACAAGAAGCAGAAAGCATCAGCTTATGATTTTTTCAAACAATCAGTATTGTAAGTTCAATTCAACATCGAAGTGATGATCAGTTAATGCTGAACTTGGCAAATTCTTTTTTTTTTTTCAAATACATCTCAATAGCTCGAAAATGAATGAGTTCAAGAGAAAATATTAAGATACGCATTTTGTAGGTCACATTTTCTAATAAAAAACGTATTTCAATATTTTTTTTCAATAAAAAAACTCAGACTAAACTATTCAGTAGAATGGAAAATTATTGAGAAGTATTGACGGGAGAAGATTTTGTCAAAGGATTAATTGAAATGAACATGAAACAGCAAAATCTAAAGTCTAGAGGAAGGCAGGGGAGACCCAGATTGGGAGAATGGAAAATGTGGTACTGAATTTCAATCGAATGAAAAAAAAGTGTACTCTGCCTAATCTAATCAATTGAATTATAAGACGAATAAAACATTATTATTCTCATCCGTACTCCCAATAATGAAAAATTTAATAAACAAAAGTTGATAAAAAATTTTTTTTTTCCTTGAATTGCGATAAATAGTCGCTTTACGGCTGTTTCATTTTGGCCCACCCTCCCCTATTGCGTGATAATATATTATAGTTGCGTCATCCAAACGATTTTCCAATGGTTACCAATGAATCAGTCTTCAAGACTTATTAAACTTATTATGAAGAGTAGAAAAGTGAAATAAAATTTAAATATTTCAGGGATCCATCAATTTTGGCTGAATGTGGTCTTGACGATCATACCAAGGAAGTATTGCTGAGCAATATCAAGAGGAAACTGACCTCTCAAGCTGTCAAGATTCGCGCTGATGTCGAAGTTGCATGCTATGGGTACGAGGGCATCGATGCTGTCAAAGCAGCACTCAAAGCTGGACTCGCCCTTTCCACCGAGGAGCTTCCCATAAAAATTAATCTGATTGCACCCCCTCTCTACGGTAATTATACAGTATTTCATGAATATTACTTGAGTCAGGCGAAAATTTACCTCCAAAGTTAGGAGCTTCACGAATGAAAAAATTTAATAGAAAAACCTAACAAATTCGTTAGAAAATTCTATTGGATTTCTGTTGAACTTTCTAATAGTTTTTGGCCGATTCTATTGAAATATTTAACAAAAAATATTCAATTGAAAAAGTCAATAGAATTTAATCTTTCTATATGACTTATTTTATTGAGATAATTTCTATAGAATTTCCTCGGCTCAAATTTTCCAAGTTTTTTTGTTTGATTTTCTTGATGAGAAGAGAAGAAAAACAGAATGAAAAAAAAACCTGAGCCGAGGAAATTCTGTAGAAAATATCTGAAGAGAATAAGTTATACAGAAAAATCGAATTCCATTGACTTTTTCTATTGAATATTTTCTATCGACCATTTCAATAGAATCGGACAAAAACTGATAGAAAGTTCAATAGAAATGCAATAGGTTTTTCTAACGAATGTGCTAGGTTTTTCTATTAAATTTTTTCGTGCGTGTTTTATAGAAAAGAAATTTCTGATTAAAAAAAACTCAATGTACTTTTCCTCTTTAAACGAATAATTAACGAGAAAATATATAATTATGTGGAACGCATTCTTTACTTTTTTCTTTGACGTAAAATTACTAAACTTCATTGAATCTTCGTTTATTGAATTATCTCTCCGGTTTTCAGTCATGACAACATCAACACCAGAAAAAACAGACGGTTTGAAGGCGCTGAACGACGCTATTGTCGCGATAAAAGCGAAAATAGTTGAATTAGGTGGTGTGTTCGATATTCAAATGGCTGTGAGTATCTCCGAAATTTCATTTTTCTTTCCTTAGGCAAAGTTATATTGATAACATTCTTCCTTCTAAAACACTGTTTAGTATTTACTTATTTCGAAACTGAGGATCTATAGAAGAATATATTTACAGATTTTTCGCAGCTAAAGAAATTGCTGGAAAAAAATAGATTCTAAAATGCATGAAAAATCCATTTGCCACATTTTTCTCCATTATTGTTGAATTCATTTTATGCAAGATTTGATTTTGATGATTATTTTCTTGTTCTCCAGCCTAAAGTTGTCACAGCAACAGACGAAGCCGAGCTGGCGAGGCAAATGGAGCGTGCTGAGATGGAAAATGCTGAAGTGGCCGGTGACGATGATGAAGAGGAAGTCGAGGGCATGGGAGACTTCAGCGGAGGTGAGGGTGAGGACGAGGAGAACAAGGGCCAGGAATCTCAAGGGGAAGATTGAGGCCCAGTTGAGCATCTTTTTTTACTGTGAAGTAAACGTCTATACAGATGAATTGTCCGGAAGTACATTTCTACCTGTATAAATTGTGGAAAAAATTTCATCGACATTATTATACGAAAATTTTACAAATAAACTGTATAATAATTCATAATTTAAGAGTTTATTTTAAATAAATTCCCTCATTCAATCTAAAAATGTCATTAATGGACGTGATGAAAATGATTTAGGATCCCATAGTGACAATTGAAAAAACAAGCAGTGCGACAGAAGCCATTTGACAGATTACATATGACTGCGTATTTTTTTTCTCCTATTTTCATTTCTACCAATTTCATTGGTAGTAGGTTTCCGAATGGATCCCAATGTATGTTTTCAAAAAATGCAAGCATAAGGATTATCACTTTTTGAAAATATTAAGGCCAATCCCACTCACATATCATGGCAAATATCGTTAGCTATTATTATCTATTTATGGAAAAATCATACTTCCCATGATCACCATTCGTGAATGATCTAGTCAGCTTTTCATATACATCACCGACTTCGTCTCTCACATAGATGTGTAAATTTTTGTTTTCATCCATGAAAGTAGAGAAATGACAATATCTCAAAATTCAGGTAATATATTAAACATCAAGAACGAAGTTTCTAAATTTTAAGAAACAGTAGTGGTCAATGGATAGGGTGCGGCGGCGGTCATCTAAACTTTATCTCATTTTTCCCTATTTCTATAAAATAAATTTGAAAAAAACATATTGATGTAATATGGCTTTCTCAGTTATCCTGATGTGAAAATGAACGGTGAAATTAGATGCGATAATTTTTTTTCTCTACAATTTTGGGTGAATTGTTCTATTTCAAGAACTATCAAATATATTCACCTAAAATATGATATAGGAATGTTTCTTGACAATCCTAACTAGAAACCGCGGTTTCAAAAGGTTTCCCTGACTTTTACTCATGTCATAGTACGCAAAAATTAATTCCGTCCAAAAAAATACAAAAACGACGGTATCTCGAAAAATCTCAATCGGATGGTACCCATATTTTGTTAAATTTAGATAGATGACATCAAAACATACATTCCGCTATAGAAAAATCCGTGTCCGTAACCGAGGGTTACCCATCGGTTTTTGCGTCAATTCTCGACTTCCTCTTCGACGCAGCATACATATGGTATACTCTTTCGAAAGCTTATTAAATAAGCTTCAAATTGACACCTTATTCATCCGACCATTTTTTAGTGACTTACAAGAGTTTTAGGCAAAAAATGATTTTTTATGGTGTACTTGAAAAATTAACTTTGGATGGATTTTTTGGTACTTCTAAGTAGACTAGACGGGAATACTCATACATCATTTTGAAGGGCATTTTATGATAAATGTGATTTAATTCAATTTTCATTGAGTTATTGCAGATTATTTCCATTTTTCACGTTATGTCACACCTTAAAAATCACAGTTTTTACCATTTCTCGAGGCCTTAGACTTGATCAACGGGGATTTATCATATGTCAATTTGAAGGTCTCATCGAGGTCTTCATATTGAGACCCTATATTATCTGCTCCATCACCTAAATCAATTGTTATAAGCGATAATGTAGAGATTTTAGCATGTCACATTTTGAAAATTCCGTGTTTTTCCTCCTAAATAGCAAGATTCGCTTGGTTATCCCTAGCGGACCAAGTTGATAGTGGGACTCTCGATAATTTCCTGTTTGAGAGAAAATTGAGAGTTAGTTGAGAGTTGGAGTGACGAGGCCTAAAGTGCATTCTATGCTAGGCGCTCTCTTTACAATCAACTTTAAAGAAAATTTACAATTGGATTTTTTATTCCTATAGTGACCTCTCCATTTTCAATCAACTTTTTTCGGAATTAAAAATTTAATTTTTGATTTTTGATTCTCAAATGTTACTTAATTTACTCTCAACTTTTTTGAGAGTTGAGAATCCGATTTTTTTTTTTGGAAAATAGGATTTTTAATTCTCAAATGTCTCTCAGTCGACTCTCGACTTTCTTGAGAGTTGTGAATTTGTTTTTCTTTTTTGAAAATAGGATTTTCGATTCTCAAATGTCTCTCAATCGACTCTACTTTTTGGAGAGTTGAGAATTTGATTTTTTTTTTTTTGAAAATAGGATTTTCGATTCTCAAATGTGTCTCAATCGACTCTACTTTTTGGAGTTGAGAATTTGATTTTTTTTTTTGAAAATGGGATTTTCGATTCTCAAATGTCTCTTAATCGATTCTACTTTTTTGAGAGTTGAGAATTTGATTTTTTTTTTTTTTTGAAAATAGGATTTTCGATTCTCAAATGTCTCTCAGTTAAATAACTCGCAGAAATTCTATGTCCGGCATGAAGCTCATTGAATAAGCTCAAAATTGAGAGATTAACCACTTTATTTCAGCCATTTTTCGGAAACTTATGAAAGTTTTAGGCGAAAATTGATATTTCTATTGAAAAAAAAATCACTATGACTTATTTGGATATACTCAATCCAAATTAATGAAATCTACTTGGTATGATTCTTGATTTAATTAAATCTTAATCGGTTCGATTAGGGGCTTAATATTCGATTTGAATCAACAATTTTTTTCTGTGTGTAGACATTACATTGGTTCCATTCGCTGGGATCATTGCAATTTTGATATAATTTCTTATTGGTGCAGTTGTCAAGTAAGTTCGATCAGTCGATGCAATCCAGAATTTGACTCAAGAATTCGAGATTGAAGAACAGATACAAATATTTGTATCAATTCTTTAGTGTCAAATTCAGTATCAAAACCATGCAGCCTAACTAGTATGCGCGAAGCGCGTCTTGTCTAGTCAAAAAAAAATGAAATTGGACCAATAGTTTTTGAGATATTGAGCAAAAGAGGTTCACATACAAAGTTGAATATTTCCGAAACTACTGGTCCGATTTCGTTCATCCAGAATCCTAAACTTTGTTACCATAAGACCTAAAATCTTACCAAGTTTTGAAAAAAAATCTCAGGAACCGCTCAAACGATCGAGCTGAAATTTAGCACAAATTTGAGTCTCAGTAGTACCAATTAGCAGCCAGAATTTCAGCATCTTTGCCTCAATAATTCTCGAGTTATGGGGACAGTTCTGGACCTACGAACACACGTGCGCAAACACGTACACACATACAGACATTTTTTAAAAACATCATTTCTTCACGTTTCATGACATTTCTAGGCATTTCCACCCAAAATTAAGGAATAAAAAAAACACGATTACAAAACTTCCATTCGGAAGAAAAAAAAGAACAGTTAGTGAGAAGATAATTTTTACTTGAAAACGGAATATTTTTCAATTTCTTGAAAGTCTAAATGAATTTTTCGAAAGACGTTCTTTGAAAAAATTGATTTTCTACATAGCCGCTCTTTTGATGTTATTACATAAACCTTGTAGTTCCAGAAATATGGAGAATGAAAGAGGCATATGGCGAACGGAGATAAATGAAAATACGTGAAAATTCGTTTCAAATATTTATTAAAATATCATCGTTGATGTCAAGTGACTTAATCGTTGGCAATGGTAACCTCAACCTCTACACCAGGTTCAATGGAGATGCTGGTGATCTGTTTGACGATCTCAGATGGTGAATAGAGATCAATGACACGCTTGTGGATGCGCATCTGGAAGCGATCCCAGGTCTTTGAACCTTCACCACACGGTGTCTTACGTGTAGTGATCCTCAGGATTTTGGTTGGCATACGAACCGGTCCCTTGACCTTCAGCTTCTGTTTCTTGGCACCACTGATCAACTCGGAGCAAACTGCAATAAAAAAGAATGGTGTGATTGATTGGAGAAAATGGAAGTCCATCGTTGATCGCCATCAATCACGGAGTGACTTGCAGATTATTCCGTAAATATCTCAAAAATGAGTTCATTGATCAGGGTGTCCACCTGGAAGTTTCAACAAAATTCCCTGATTTTTCCCCGTCAAGTTGATACAATTCCCTAACCATAGAAACCGTTTTTTTATGAAAGACATTTTTTCATAGGCTATTATCCATAATTTATGACGCAAAATGGGTTCTGAATTTCATTTTCTAGAGTCTGACGAAAATTGCGGAATACAAAAATCTACAGCAGATGGAAATTGCGCAATAAAGGAAGTATGGCTGAGGGAATTTTCAAAGACTTTTTAATTTTAGCGAGGTCTCCCCTTAAGAGGTGATCACTCTGTCACCTTTTCAACGAAAATACATACAACGGAAAAATTTGTCTAGAAAAGTCTGTCTAAGAAAATTTTCTCTAGCGGACCACGTTGGAACTCTCAGTATTGGAAATGAGTATTTTTCAAATATTTCCACGATCTTGGTATGGAAGAATTCCTTTGAAAAGTAGAATGCTGAATTTAGAAATTTCCATAGAAAAGCCGCAAAAACAGTGGGTTCCCAGTCTCATCCCAAGGAAATATGTTAACATCCCACATTTCTAAGTAAATTTGAGATCAAATTCCAGGACAATGTTTTTTGACAACAGAAGAATTCCCAAAAAATTAGGTATTTGGAGGAAAAAAGCTTCAAATTTTAAAATTCCAGAAAGTTGTCGTAATTCTCTGACATTTCCAGACCAATCAAATTCTCTGACAATTCCCGGTTTTCCAGATTTCCCTGGTGGCTGGACACCCTGTTTATGAGAATTTTCTAAATATGTTCAGATTGGATTTCTCTAACAATTTTACCTTTTTCGAGAGATCGAACGTTACGAGAAGTCAGGGTGATCCTGATACGGTGAATCGTTGCAACCTCTGCTCCAGGTTTCTCAGGGTTATCGGTCTTCAAACTTGCCTACATAAAAAAAGAAAAAACGTCATAAGTGCTCGCCAAAATATAATAGGATGAACCACACTCAATTATCACGCCACCTAGGGATTGGACAGGATAGCCGGAAATTTTTTTACCAAGACGGTGGTCGACAGAAAAAAAATTCTCTAGCTGTTAACTCAACTGATAAGGATTCTGTTCTGTTTTAAACTTGTTTCAGTTCAAAATTTTGCCCATTTATTCACTTTTGTTTTTTCATTGAAATACTTGTTGGAGGTCGTATCATCGCACAGACTACGTCCGTCGAATAACTCTTTCCAAATTGATCTCGCATTACTTCGACACCAAGTAAGTAAGAATGCACTAGCCTGGCTCTAATGTATGCTTCTTCTCTAATTATGCGGTTATTTCAGAAGTTAGACATTCATGGAAAAAGATGTAATGCTATGAAAATTAATCACTTCATAGCTTTTTCGTGGGTAATGCAATTTTCTATGAAAAACGTCTTTCGATTTGTCCTTACTTTATCTATTATGATGAATAGGACTACGCACGAGACCCAGACGAGACATCACTTTGAACAGATCGTCTCGCTCTAAAAAAACATGGACATTTTGGGGACTGTCTCAGTCTTAAAACACGTACTATCGTCTCCTCTGGTTATCATTTGGAGATAATTTGTCTGGTCACAGTCTTCACTTATTCCGGTATTTTATGTTTGGTCTCGGTTTCAGTCTCGGCCTCGTGCACGTTAAAAATCGGAAAAAAGAGAGAATGAGAAGAGATAAATTTTTTTGGAGTCGTGAAAAGGGGAGGCAATACTACTTTCGTCTACTTTAGCCTTTCGAAACTGAGACAGTGCCGGAAAATTTCCATCTTGTTTTAGAACGGGACGATGCCTCCAAAGGAAAGTTTCGTTTGAGTCTCATACGCACTCCTATTTATGAAGATGAATCAACAGTCAACGATTAAAAGATTAATGTCAACTATAAAAATTATATTACTTTTCTACTCTGATATAACTATTAGCAATCATTAAATTTTTCATTCTGTCGTAATATGCTCAATTTGATTGAATAGAATTCTCCAAAAAATCTAGTCAGACAAAAACGCAATAATTAATTGAAGAAATATCGGAAATATTTTTTTTTATTATCGAGTTTTACTTCCATAGAAAACGAATTTTTTTTTAATGAAAAATCGTAGATGTATCGACATCAGAGCATGAAGGCTTCGTCACCTAACCTCCAAACTAAAAACGCTCAATTTTTGGAAACATCGTCAGAATTTTGCTGCCAAAAATGATGAAAAAATAACGAACATAATATAAAAATGATTTTTACCATGGTTGATTGATGATCCTGGTCGAGATGATCAATTTAATCTTAAATAACTGATCAGCGCTGAACCAGTTTACAAAACGTTCCTCGTGCCGCAGCGAAAAGAGTGGAAAAGAGCTTCAACTCAATGCCGTAAGCCGTTCCGCGTAGTTGCGCGCAGTGCGCCTCTCTCAATCTGTTGATTTCCGGCCTCTTGAGAGCGCTTCTTTATTTGAACTTCATTTGGACTCTTCAAAGGGGCTATTTACGCGTTGGATCCTTTTTTCCATAATCATTCCACAAGATGAGAAATTAGATTTAATTATTCCATATTTCATATTTATTCAATTATATGGGTAATTCCACTAATTACCAACTGACCATTTTGCGCCGTCTGGGATTTCGACAAAATCATGGCAAAAAACTATCTTTTATGAAAAAAAAAAAATCTTGATTATTTTTTCAATCCAAATTTCAGTCAACAGAATTAGACCATTAGACGTCACATGGTACAAAGAACATGGTTTTCAACTGATAATTGTTTGATAATTTTCTCTGGTAGTTGCTATGTAAAAAATAAAAGATCTTTCAGTGGAGTGAACCCCTCGTCGAAACTAACAGATCAATTTTGTCTCATGGTGCAATCCTGTTGACCGAAATTTGGATTGAAAAAATAATCCCCCGAATACCACTCGAACTTCAAAATTAATCAGGTATTTCCCTCAATGTTCCCTGCATACAAACAAAGTCGTCAAGTATTTCAGAAAAATCACTCGCGCTTCGTGCTCGTTATTTTTTAACTGAAAAACTTGACTCCTTCGTTTGTTTGCAACGAACCTATCGTGAAATACCCAATAATTTTGAAGCTCTTGTGGTATAATAAGTGATAAATTTTGGGGAACCGGGTCACAAGCGCGATTTTCCACTTTTTTGTACAGAAAAACTTCATTTTTGCCGTGAAAAACCCATCGGAATAAAAAAAAATCATTTTTTTTCTGGAAATTCAGAATTTTTCCGACGAATTACCCATATAATGGAATTACCAGTTATAATACCCCGGTGCTTGAAAATTATCGAGTATTTCCCGAAAGTTTCGTTGCCTCGCGCAAGCGCTCGGAATTTTGATACTGCCAAACTTCATACACATGTTGCTAAGCAGGGGAATTTGAGGGAAATACTCGATTAATTTTCAAGCACGAGGGGTATTCGGCGGGTTATTCCCCCCCATTCAAATCTCGATCAATGGGAGCTGGGATTTGACATTTTCGTGGCAAAATGAACATTTTTTCTCCAAATCGTCTTTTTTTTCTCCATCATTTTCACAAATGTCACTACTCTTTGATGTTTCTTCAACTGTCTCGGGTTAAATTCCTACGGAAAACTTTTGTTTATTGCTTAGCAACAGGCGTGGTATTACATAAAAATTATCGATATCATACGCACCACGTGATGTCAAATCCCATGCTCCTATTGGTCAAGATTTGAATGGTGGGGAATAACCCATATAATTTGTAATTGATCGTTTAGTGTCAAGAAAACCTTTTTCAGAATCATATTTCAACACATCTGACATTTTTACAGATATAATTTTGTGATTCGTAGTTTATCTCTTCAATCCATTTTTTTTTCAATGTCAGGAAATATTTCTATCAGATCCAAGTTATTCAATACATGTAAATTGTAGAATACGTGGCAATCTCATTGTCAATCAAGTCATAGTCAAGAAGAACATCGAAAACATATTCCAGTATACTCACAACTCGGTGATGGGCAAGCTTAATACTTACTGAGTACTAAGTGCTGTAGTACATCAAGTGCCTAGTACTTAGTAGCTGTCTAATCACTAAATACCCAGGTACTTAGTACTTAAACCTGTCTAAGTACTAAGTACTCAAGGTACTTAATACTTTTGGGCAGGTTTAAGTACCAAGTACATCAAGCAGTCTAGGGATCCGAAAGTAAACATTTGCTCAACAGGGTGTCTCAAAATATTCGGCGAAGTCATTAAGGGGTGAAAAGGAATGACATGATGAGTCGAAAGGTCGTCTTCGATTTTTTGCTCCGAGCATTAATTCAAGAGTTATCAACTAATTAGACTGTTGATAATTTTGCGATTGAATCACCATTTCAGTAGCGAAGAAAGTTTCCGCCCCAAAGATTGAGATAAAGTGCAGAATTTATTTGAATTTTCTACACAACTGGAGGATTTTCTCGAATTCTTTAAAAACCAAGAAGTTTCCTCAAATTTACTGTAAAACCAGAGAATTTTATCGATTTTTCCAAAAAACTGGAGAATTTTTCTCGAATGTCCTCGAAAACCTCGACACCTCGAAAGCTCCGTTTAAAAATGCGAACACAAAATAAAGACACAAAAACTTTAATATCTCGGAAACAAGATGCAACGAAGTAGACTCTTTTCATGTGGACGTCCACATTAATAGACGACAATTGCAATAGAATTGTTTATTCCGGCTTTTTATTAATAAGTTATAATATTAATCGAAACATTACAAATCTGTCCCACAACACACCCTCTTGGAAGAATCCATATCTTTCCTTTCATTTGGGATGAATAGAATACTAATTAGTCCACTAATTGACTCTCTAACTGCCGACAACTTAACAGTAAATTGATGTCGAATCAATTGATAATATTATTAGAAATTTAGAGTCAACTTTTATGCAACTAATTGACATTGAATGGTGTGATAATATTGAAATAGAAATCGTCAACATTATCCCTTATTTTGTCGATAAATTGACGGCAAATTTCATCTGAAGAGTTGCGCACATTCAAGTTCGACAATTTACCGTCAATTTTTGCTACTAATTTGCAGTAAGTATTTCCGATAACCTGATGATAACTTTTCTGGGTTATCATCTCCATTTGGGATTAAATTGTCGTCATATTAGCAATACGTCAGCCATTTTGAGGATAATAGTATCCAAGAATTGCTGGTAAATTTTAACTCATCGGACAATTTTGTTTACTGGGAAGCTGTAGGCAAAAACTCATGGTCGTAGCTCTAGTAGTTTGGGCTGTGCGTTGATACCTAAGTTCCGTGAAAACGGGCTCCTGCTTTATTATATATAAGATTAATGATGTCAAAAAAATGATAGAAGCATCAACAAGTGGATAGAAGCGGAGGAGCCGTTCAATAACCTAACTTCCACCCTAAACGCCCCCTTTTTCTGCAAAACTTTTGTGTAAATTTGTTCCTCTAAACGTAAAACAAAACGGAATACTAAGCAATGAAAAAAATTCTCCCTATGATTCACGATTTATCCCATTTAATATTATTTACAAACAATTCACGAACTGGATCGAAACCTCTCGAACACAGCACTCCCTCTTAGTTTACCAACTTCCGATTCCTCAAACCCGCCATAATACTCCTTTCCTCAAACTCTCTAAATAGCTCCCCGCACCACTCTCGAAAATCCTCCATATTTCCCTCAAAATTATCAAAAAATTCTCCAAAGCAATAGAGTCTAATTTCCCCCTCCAATCCTCTGCCGCGAAATATCAAAATCGATCTCAAACCGGAAGTTCATTGTATTGATCAGTGCCACAATTTTGTCCAGCGAAATTTTCAGATTTATCCCAAAAACAATGAACGAACCCCATAAATCCCAAGGAACCATTGAAAACACTCCGAAAAAATTCAATTTAATCCACAAAAACATCTCCAAATATGATGAAAAAAACATGGCAAATTAATTTTCGAATAATAATTCTCGACGGAATAGACTCGACGTTTGTCCGTATTGCCCCCATTGCCAATTCTCCCCATGATGCACAACAAACTTCAGAGTAGTACCCAAGTGAACACGGTTCGCGTCGTTTAACACGGTTAACCGTTTTTATTCCATGAAAAAAAATTGGAACGAGAGGAAAAAAAAGTAAAACGTTGAAGTGATACCGCATTAGGAAAATATCAGTAGAAATAATAATCGTGTAATTATTTAGATTTCTCTGAAAATGTTGAAAAATCACATTTCAATGTTAATATTACGTAAGGGTGAATTTATTTAACATCTAAATGACATAAAAACAGTTGAAATTAACTGTGAAAAGTTATTGGGTGTCCCAACACTAAACAAAACTCGAGGGAAAATCGAGTGTGTGGTGTGTGTCTGGTAGGTGATATATTTGTGTTGTGGAGGTGTCACATGCCCCATCGGTGTCTATGCATAATTTGAGGTAAATATCACCATCGAATGATGATAAATTGACCAATTAAAAGAATTTCCAATGTATCGACTCGTGATGGAAGGGACACTATTCTAGATGTGATATAAATTTGTTTACGTTGGATAGTTGTATACGTGTGCGACAGAGGCTAACATAACCTTAAATAACCCGCTATGCGTGAATAAATTATCCCAAACATTTTCCCTCGTTAATCATCATTATTATTTTTTTCGTAGAATTTGGAAGGTGTTTTAGAGAAACTTTTGATTTGGCAGATTGAAAAGAGTTAAGGATTTTGAAGAAACGAGAAAAATGTCGGAGATTATATACCCTCAGGGGTGTAGGCCGGTCAGCGATGATCTGGGAGCTGATGAGTTGATCAGGAGATTGAAGGTAAATTTCCTTTTGTGATGAATCTAATTAGGCATGTCGGAATTAATGATCTTGGGGCTTTTGGCTGAATAAAGAGAGAATCGCAGTTCTTCGCAATTACTTTGTGTTTCTTATTTTTTAAGTAATGCAGTACAGTTAGCTGAATTATTTGAGACTATGGTGGAAAAGATACGTTTTTTTTATAGACAAGAGAATTTGCGGCAGAAAAGGTATTTTGTTTTAACTCAATAAGCAAGGATGATTGATCAATCCAATATAAAATTTATCAGTTGAGGTGAAGAATTGAAAATTTAAAACAAACAACTGGGAAATTTACAACTGAGAAAAAAAATTATTTCATGAAGACAATTTTATTTGAAACAATGATTAGTTAGTTGATAATTTTACCTTTAGTTGGGCAAAAAGCTTCTAATAATGAAAATATTCTTCTAGATAGGAATGTTCTACCATGACAATTTTAGGTTGAAAAAAATTAAACATTCCCATTGTTGCAATAAATAGATTTGACTTGAGTTGCACTATTATTTCAGTAGAGAAAATGTATCTCAAAAAGAAAAGCATCATGATTCATAGCCACTGTAAAATTTTTCAGCTAAATATTAGTTGGTTAACCAAGAAACCATAGAATTCACACTTACAATGAAAGTTGAAAAAAAATGAAACGCACATATGAAATTTCGCAATATGTCCAACCGTCAGGGAAATCTGGAAAACCGGGAAAAGTCAGGGAATTGTGACAACTTTCTGGAATTTTAAAATTTGAAGCTCGATTCCTCCAAATACCTACATTTGTGGGAATTCTTCTGTTGACAAAAAACATTGTCCTGGAATTTGATCTCAAATTTCCTTAGAAAAGTGGGATGTTAACGTCTTCCCATGGGATGGGACTGGGAACTCATTGTTTTTGCGGTTTTTCTATGGAAAATTCTAAATTCAACATTCTACTTGTCAAAGGAATTCTTGCATATCAAGATGGTAGAAATATTTGAAAAATACTCATTTCCAGCAATATACAAACTGCAAAAACACTAACAGCTCTAACCTGATCCGCTAGAGAGAATAGCATCCTAATTTTCTAGACAAATTTTTTGCTGTACGTATTTTTATTGAAAAGTTGATAGAGTGATTACCTCTTATGGGGAGACCTCGCTAAAGTTGGAAAGTCTTTGAAAATTCTCTTAGCCATGCTTGGTTTATTCCGCAATTTCCATCTGATGTAGATTTTCGTATTCCGCAATTTTTGTTAGACTCTAGAAAATGAAATTAAGTACCCATTTTACGGCATAAATTATGGATACGGGCCCATGAAAAAAAATTTTCCTTCAATGCACTTTTTTTGGTTTGTTCTTGCATAATAATGCCTAAAAAAATCAAGTGGAGCAGACAGACTAGATCTAAAAGATTCATTTTTTTTTTCAATCCACTCTATGCAATAGAATATGAATACTCAATTTTATTCTTTGAAGTCGGACGAACATTGAAAAAAAAATCTGAATTGGATGAAAATTATGATCCAAAGACAATTTTGAAGGTGAAAATGGGAAATGACGAGGAAAATTGGTCACTTGATGGGTCTTTTCGCCAATCAAAGATAATTTTATTTTACCGACGTCTGCCTTTCAATTTCGTTCGGTAAAGGAGTTAATGTGCACGGATCCATCTATTGCCCATTGATTATCAACGTCAGGTGATCCTTATTCATCAACTGTTTTAACCCTCTAAGGTGCATTTCAATATTCCCACTCTATGGCCTTCAAACCGGAATGCGGGTGTCCCTACTAAAGCGTCCTACTACAATTTTCACCTTAGATTCTATAAATTTAACATTCTTTTATTTAAAAAAAAACGTTTTCTATGGTCAGGGAATTTCATCAATTTCACCGGGAAAAGTCAGGGAAAAGTCAGGGAATTTTGTTGAAACTTGCAGGTGGACACCCAGCTTTATGACTTTGCTACAAATTGATTTCCATGACTTCATAGTGAGCTCATATAATCCTAAAATCGCTGATATAATATAATTCGAATATATCTACGGGCTCCCAAAAGAATTCCAAATCTCTCTAACGGACAAACTCCATACATTTCAGACTCTAGCTCACACACTTCAAGCAATGGGCCAAGACGAAGGTATGTACCAGCAGTACATTCCCCTGGCCCTCCACCTCGCAGAGGAGCACTTCCTGAGTCACCCAAGCAAAGACGTCCAACTGTTGATCGCCTGTTGCATCGCAGACGTCCTAAGAGTATACGCCCCCGAAGCACCCTACAAAGACGCCGATCAAGTGAAAGGAATCTTTCTCTTTCTGATAAAACAACTCGCAGGCCTGAAGGACCCAAAAGATCCAGCATTCAAACGTTACTTTTATCTCCTGGAGAATCTTGCCTACGTCAAATCCTTCAACATGTGTTTCGAGCTCGAAGACTGCCAGGAGATCTTCTGCGCATTATTCTCCCTGATGTTTAAAATAGTGAACGACGAGCACTCGGGGAAAGTCAAGAGTTTCATGCTGGAGGTCCTCTGCCCCCTGATAACAGAATCAGACACAGTGAGCAACGAACTCTTGGACATAATCCTGATGAACATTGTGGAGCCCAATAAAACACAAAAGAAGAATGCCTACTGGCTGGCAAAGGAACTTGTAGTAAAATGCAGTGACACACTTGAACCTTACATCCAGGCTTTTTTCAACCACGTCCTCATCCTGGGAAGAGAAGAGAAAGGTCTCCAGATCTGTAAAAAAGTCTACGATTTGATCTACGAACTGAACCACATCTGCTCCAGTATTCTACTTTCAGTCCTTCCCCAACTCGAATGCAAATTGAAATCAACCCTAGAGACTGAAAGACTGAATGCTGTTGCACTTTTAGCCAGAATGTTTTCGGAGAAGGGTTCCCAACTGGCGACCCAACACACCCAACTTTGGCGAGCATTCTTGGGTAGATTCAACGACATAAGTGTCGCAATCCGCACCAAATGCGTCCAGTACTCCATGCACTTCCTTCTTAATCATCCAGAGCTCAGAAAGGACATCACTGACACCTTGAAAATGCGTCAGCACGATGCAGACGAGAACGTTCGTTATGAAGTCGTAATGGCCATTGTATCAACAGCACGAAGAGACTTTGAAGTTGTTTCGGACAATGAGGATCTCCTGGAGTTTGTGAAAGAGAGAACTCTTGATAAAAAATTCAAGATCAGAAAGGAAGCCATGTCAGGACTTGCGATGATTTATAAAAAACATTTGAACGATGCTGATGTACCTCAGGCCACGAAGAAGGCAGTGACATGGATCAAGGATAAAATCCTCAATGGTTACTACATGACTGAAATGGATGACAGATTACTGGTGGAGAGATTGTTAAACACCTGCTTGGTACCTTATCAACTGCCTGCTGAAGAGAGAATGAAAAAACTATACCATCTACTCGGAACAATCGATGATAATGCTTCAAAAGCATTCGTTGCACTTCAAAAACATCAACTTGCTGTACGCAGGGCAGTCATGGAGTGGGTAGAGATTGTCAAGAAGCCAGACGCCAATAACGAACTCATGACTAAGGTTCATCAGATCTCTCGCTTTCTTCCAGATCCCATGAAAGTTATGGAATTTCTTCAGAAGTTCTCAGCACACATGAAGAAAGATCCCATTCTCCTCCAAGGAATGGAGACTATTGTTCAACCTACTGTCTCATGCAAAGAGTGTGCAGAAACAATTGCAGCTGTTCTGAAGAAACTTGGCCAGCCAGTAATGACAAATCTGTACTACAATACCATCAAAAAGCTCCTGGAGCGAGTCAGTTCTGTGCTGATCGATGAGGAGGCCATTAGAATATTTATTGGTTACGTCCACGATTGTCTGAAAGGGGGTAATGTCATTGAGGAAATTGGATTGAATCCCAGTAATGCTGGAGAGAAGGGTCTGCGTCTATTGGTAATGCTCTCCTTCGTCTTTGGACCACATTTTCTTCATAATGATATTCTCATGCAGCTTGTTGAACTTTTGGAAATTGAGGACGAGATGGTGGGTGCTTTGGTCCTGTCAATTTTCACATTCCTGGGAAAGTACAAGCCCCTATACGAAGTTGCACCTGATATTATGGCTAGGATGGTGCCAATCTGCAAGAATTTTGCACTGTCAGGAACTCCAAAACAAGCAAAACAAGCGATTCGCTGTATTTTCGTGAACATGGTCAATATCCATGACACAATATTCCCTGATATAATTGATAAGATCAAGACAACATTGACACCAACATCCAGTGACTACAGAACATCGATAGTTACACTGGGACACATTGCTTATAATCTACCAGATAAGTATCATGTACAGATTAAGAATATGGTATCGAGGAAAATTGTGAAAGAGTTGCTGGTGAAAGAGACGACAGAATCTCCTGCTAATGCTATTGAGGGTGACTGGCGCAAGGAGGAGCAATTGCCAGAGGAAACTCGATGTCGATTGGAAGGACTCAAGTGTATGGCAAGGTGGTTGCTTGGATTAAAGACAGATCATTTGTCAGCGCAAAAAACATTCAGAATGTTGAATGCTTTCGTTGGAAATAAGGGAGATCTGCTACAGCAGGGCAGACTCAGTCGTGCTGAAATGAGCTGGTTGCGCCTACAGGCTGGCTGCTCTATGCTCAAAATTTGTGAACAGAAGGGGGTTGGAGATCAGTTCATCGCTGAACAATTTTATAATTTATCACTACTAATGGTGGACGAGGTCAAGGAGGTCAGGGAAGCATTTGCTGCCAAATTGCACAGAGGATTGGGCACTGGAATTCCAAACAAATGTTTGCCACTGGATTTCATGGGTTACTATGCACTTGGTGGAAAGGAACAGGATAAGAAGCAGAAAGCACAGTTGAGGACATTTATGGTGACTGATATCAACAGGAGAAGGGATTACGTTAAGGCTCTTTCTCTTGGAACTGTTGAGAGAGCCATGGGACAATTACCACACATTTTACCTGATTACATGCTGGTTTTCGCTGTTCCAATTCTGGCTCATGATCCTGAATTCACAAATCATAAGGACATTAGTCAACTAAGAATTATTGAACAGTGTTTGAGATTTATTCTTGAGCCACTCATCACCAAAAATGAATATTACTGTTATGGATTTTATAAGAATCTCATTGAAAAAATGAAGAACCACAAGGATGCTGTAAGACCTGATGATGATGAGATGAATTATAAATTGTGGACTGTCTGTGATCTTGCTATGAACGTTATTTACACTAAGACGACGAATTTTGATATGAAGGAGTTTCCGAGTGAATTGAGAATTCCTACCATGTACTTCAAGCGGGCTGATGAGCTCAGCAGTAATTCAATAAATTATTTGCCACCTGAGATGCAGATTAATATGACTAGTCCGAAGGGAAAGGGTGGACTTATTCATAATACCAATGAGAGATCGACGAGGAAGAAGGGAAAACATGCCAGAGAGACTGTTGGTATTGGACCTAATGAAACTGACGCAAGGGTAAGCGGATTTTTATTTTTTTTTTCGTTTGACAATTTTCGGTGATTTCAGTGGTGCAGTGGTGGAACAAGATAACTTACTCTGATTTTGACAACATTTTTTTTTCAATCTGGCAATTTGATATTCTCAATATATTTCTTGTAGAACAAAATGACAATTATGAGGAAAATCCTCATGTTCATTCGTTTCTTTTTCCTTTACTTGGAGTAGAGGATGTTCAAACAGAACTGAACTGCTCTGAAGTTGAATTGATTTATCTCGTTTCATCCATTTCCCACTGATTTTCCAGAGGGATTTTGTGCCTTTAGGCGATGGAGATATAATTGTTTAAGTAGAATTCGTTGAATTTTCAAGCTGCAAATTGGAGAGATGGAGTGTATTGATGCACAGGTAAATAATTGATGATTCCTGTGCTCCTTAGTAATTCAATTGTTTTTCGTTATCAATTTTTACTTTATTGATTGAGAAGAAAATGAAGGATTAACTTTATGGTGCTACGCAAGTAAAATGGAAATGAATCAACAAGTGCACTGAGTATTTGCGCTGAGTATTTTACCAATCTCTAGTATAGGCGTGATTTTAAAGAAAAATACTTACTGATCGGCGGAAAGGTCTTTTTATATGTTCTTCCAAGAATAGTCATTATCCAGCAGAGTCTATGAATAATAAGAACTTTTTGTCAATGACTGAATGAATCACAATATTTTGTAAATCTATTTAGACTCATCTTCTGTAATCCCATACCCATGTACTGGACTATCTCTCAGAATATATTCTCAACCTATTTAAAAGGTTTTAATGATACTGTTTCCTAGATAATCTTCTGTAAAATGAATTCGTGCATCATCGTTGCCATTATTTCTCACAGAAATGATTCCTAAATTATCAAAATTGTCTGAATAACACCAATTTTATGTTTCAACAGCCTGCCGAAGCATCAGAAACGAGAATTCAACTTCCTGGAATGGAGGAAGAGGTAAAAAAAATCTTTCAAATACAAACTAATTATGAAAGTAAACAGAAACAATAAATGTGTGTTTAAGATTTTACTTAATTATTACATAATAAACCGATAAAATTTTTCATCGCCGATTGGAATTTCTTGCTATTTTTGTGATGTATTCTATGAAAATGTGAGGATAGGAATTGCATTTATGGGTATTGGTTCATTATTCGAAAAAATATATAAATTTTGAAATTTTCCCTAGACATTGAAAAATTAAAAATTCGGTTTTTGGGTTGATCTCGTTTCTCGTCCTCTTTCCACTTTCTTCTTCCATCAGAATTAGATAATAGAAGGAAAATACATTGGTTTTTCTTCATTATTAAAAAAAACGTTTTGAAATTTTCAAGATTGAAAAATCGATTTTAAAAATTTATTTCTGATTTTCCTTCCCTACATTTTCCTTATTTCCTGTTTCTGTAAACGGGATACGATCATAGAAATTTAAAATGTTAATCTCCCTTCATCTTTTAAGAAGAAAAAAAAAAATTTGCAAAACTTCGAAAAAAGATAGAAAAATGGATTTTTTCATTTTATTCATACTGCTGGATGATTATCGATCTCTCTTTGCATTTCCCTTCTTCAGTTCCATTGAAATGAGATCAAAGGGATGTAAAATTTTCCTATTTGTTCACATTTTCAGATCATTGATACTAATTAATTTAAAGAAAAAGAAAGAAATGAAAAATTTTAGGTATAATTATCGAAAATTGTTTGCCGATCTGTATTCTCACGTGATTTATGGGGAATTCCTCTTCATTCAATGTTGTAACTTGTGAATTGAGGACTAAAAACATATATAATAACAATAAAAATGAATAGCGAAGTGCACGTTCACTATTTTGAAATTATTTCCATAATAATGACTAGTTTGATGAAGTATCAAGAGGATTTTTTTCTTGGAAATTTAGTTAGCCATAAGAACATTTGACATGTGCCCCTAAAATGCCCAATATGATAATTCACTATTTTCTCAGAGTTCGTTGCTTCATTAACTAATTTGATTAATTAATTCCTCACAGATTAAATCAATATTAATCACTCCAATTGATTAAATATTTCAGATTGACGAACCACCAGCGAAGAGAACAAGAGAATCCGACAAACTGAGTAAATAATTGAAAAACAATTCTACCAATCGGTATGAAATGACATTTTCATTATTTACAATGGACACTTTGATGAGCATGAGGCATTTAAAGATGAAGAAAAGTAAGAGGAAAACATCAACATCAATGGAAGATATGAAAATAAACATTACAAATTAGAAAACAGAATATTTTGGTTATGTACAACAATTAATAATACTTAAGTCGTTCGCATATGTCTAGGAACTTAAGCTGTTTTAAGATAACGATACCATTGGAACTTAAAATCCATTGACAATTTCTTCAATCTCAATATTCCTGTTTCATCGAAACATCAGATTTATGTTTTATGTAATTTTTACAACTTGTTTGATGTAGTTTTTTGTTTATTGAGAGAGAGGGGCACATGATAATGTCATTGTTACATCTGAAGACCTACTTCACTTCTTCTGGAAAGGGAAGAACAATTATCATTATTAACTCATTGATGCAACTATTTATCAATTTGTTTTGATCCGTTGAATTTTATTCTATCATCTTCAGTTACTTCGTTTATTCAATATAAATGCACCAGCATTGTCTCAAGTTGACAGACATTTTTCTATGAAAAGTAAATATGAAAATTATTGTGAAGATTTTTTCATTTTCTGTTTTCCTATTAATTCAGTTTTGGTATGGTGAAATGAGGGTATTTTTTCAATATCTCAATAATGGATGAGTCCAGAAGAAATCTTTGTTGTAGAGAAATAATATACAAGAGAGGTTTTTTTGACATTTTGTCTTGAAACTGATAATTTGTAATTGAATTCGATTCTTTATCGATTTAACAAAAATTGCAGATCTTATTCATTCACTTCCTCAATCCATCACTGGATATACTTCTCAAATAATCTCTAGGAAAACAAAACACGAGGGAATATGAAGTGGATGATTTTCTTCAATGGTAAAAGATGTACGAACTAGGAGGGGGACAATATTGACTGTGTTAATTGTCTCAAAGGGACATATTTTATTTTTTTGGAGAAATCAAAGATCATTGCATGTGCGAGTCAACTTCCAATTTTGCACATGCAATCATCCCAGAATCCAATCTGCTTCCTCAAATGTCTGCATTCAAAGAAAAAAAAACCTAATTCAGCGAAAAAATAAGTAACTCGGTTTAAGTAGAAATATCCCCTTTTCCTAATTACGCAATTATCTGCGTAATTATTGATTTTGGCAGGAAACATTTGCAAACCGTCGTTGCAGGCAGTAAAATTTACTACAAGGAATGTCCTTAATGGTTTTCTATTACAGTTACTCATTCGCGGGGTATTCGTTCTATCGAAAAAAATTAAAATTGAACTTGAATCATTTCATTTAATTGCTGAATCGAACTTCTATTTTCTACTACTTGATTTTATGGGAAAAACTAATTGCTGATGACATTTGAAATGAATGAACGCACATGTTCCTAATAATTTAATTTATTTCCAGAAAGAAGAAAAACAGACAAAAAAAGATGAACAGCTGTGAATTTTTTTTTTTATTATTAATAAACTGTTGAAATTGATAACAATCGAGTAGAACAAGGCAAGAAGAGAATAATGAAGACTTAGAGATCAATTTGAATGCATTTCGTTTTTTTTTGCACGGGCTTAGGTCTTACAATTTCATTTTCTAAAATGTCACTTTATAATTGATTAACTCACAACAATGAAAAAAAAAAAAATTAAAATTTTATGAGAAAGCGACAGAGTGGAAGAGAATTATTGGATGATTAGATGAGTGAATGATTGATGAGAATGTGGGCCTGAGTGAACATAATTATTACATGTAAACATTATTGATAAAAATTCATAACGAATAATATGGATAAAAGGAATAAAAATGAAAATGAATCACTTCTCGTCTCTTCACGGAAGTTACAGTGCAGTTTATCAATTGAATTCTATTCTCCAATTATATAATAAAAAGTGATAAAAATGATTAGACGAGTCTAGCACTTTTGTTAATTGGATAATTATCTCAGAAATGAGTGATTTTAGAATGAAATATCACAAGACATTTTTTTTGCTGATTCTCAAAAAAAGGCCTTCTTGAGGTTTTTTTGTCAAAGTATTCATTCCCCAGATCACGTTCTGATTATCAAAATGGGGAAATTTGACGCATTGTGCTCGACGACTTTGCTGAATCTATGACATGCAGAATAAGAAAAAACGAAGATACTCTGAATTTCGACGGACATTCATCACCTACCAATTAACTCAGATCGTAATTTTTTAACTTGATAAATAAAACAAACAAACTGATGATAAATGTAAAAAATCTTGAAGGAAATGGAAAATGCGTTTCACTGAAATTTCTGTGGATAGGAAGTAGTTTATTAAATATTATGGAAGAGGAGGGAAAAATTATAATAGTATCCATCTGTCAATCCGTGACGTAAGTGAAGTATTGTATTGGTTCTATAATAAAAGAAGGAGAATAATTGAAGAATTATAAATTAAAGAAATCGATTCATTATTTCAATCAAAGTTCTGTTGAAGTAGTTCAATAGAGAAATGGTGGGCGGCAACGTAGTGTTTTCAGTACCTCTCAGTTGAACACACGGACAAAATTATTAGGAGACGTTTATTGTGGCCCATCCAATTTCTAACATGAAAAGTTTACTGAAAGTTTTTTCCTGAAATTACTCATTGCTCAAATGATTACCTACCGAACAAAATTGTTGTTCGATGGGTAAAACTGGATTCTATGACTCGATGTTATCAAGGCGACCTAGGTAGCTAAGATTAAATTTTAACTACTTCGAGTCACCTCATCTATTTAATGGATGCTCGTATAGATGTACGGGATTTCTCAACCCGCTTATCCCCTCATGCGGTATAAAATTTTGTAATTATAAATTGAATTATTTCAAATTAAAGTCCGGGTGGATTATTTTTCGAACGTTATCTCGATTGCTTTTCCATCTTCCTAATGTAAAATATATCACAGTTTCCATTGGATTTTACATCACGCAAGAGTCCCTAAAAATTATGATTGTAAAAAAAAACTGAACATTTTCAAAGAGCGTGTTTAATAAAGATTAAGAAATAAGTCTGATAGAGAGGAAATAGTGAATGGATAACTTATCATGGTAACTAGCGATCTGACAGCCATTGACTACTGTGACAAATGACGACCTAACAGCCATTAGATACATTAAATTATTAATTTCCAATTTCCTCCCTATGGGGTTTATCTTCCAATATTATTCAAAAACGCTCTTTGAAAATGTTCAGCTTTTTTTTAACGTTTTTTGGATTGTACAATTATAATATTTGGAGACTAGGGCTATGTAAAATTGCATAGCAATTGGAGATCATTTCAGATTATCAAAATAAGCCAAAAACAACCAAGATCACGTTCGAAAAAGATAATCCATCCGGGCCTTAATTTCGAGAATGCATGGTGTGGCATTTTATATCACTACATACCAGAATTTGGCATTAACCAGGGTTCGCGACAGGAATCCAGATGGTATTGAAGTCATACTGTTACAGTTTTACCGTTTGATACATATTCTTTCTAGTTATGGAATTATCTCGGTAATTGATGATGCTATAAAACATTATTAATAGCCCCTGGGTAGATTTCGATCGAATACAAAACTCTCCTCTTGATACATATTCTGCAGTAAAATTTCTAATTTTTTAAATAATTAATCAGTATTGACTCGTTGACTTTTCACTTAACCCATTTACCACTTAATTGTAGAGTCTCAATCACGTACGTTCCCAATAATCAATAATTTTCCATGACATTGGAGTTAGAGTTGTGAATATGACTGTTATTTTTTTCAAATGACGAATTTATAACGTCTATATGACAGTCACATAAAATTGATGTAATAAAAAATATCGTAAATTTACAATGATCAGATGGAATTTATGTAAAAATATATGGTATAAAATTAAGCAGCGGGGGAGACAGACAGAGGAATTATAAAGATCAAACGTTCTTAAGGATATTCAAGTACTTCGTTCCAGCTAGCAAATTGTTTCAAGTAAGATTTCAATTTTTCCTAAAGTCCTGTCATGCTCATAATTTTTCAGATTTTTCATTGTTAAATAATTTTTTTCGGGAATTTATTCAATAAATATTGTTAACATTATTTAATTCAATTTTATACCTGATTCTCGTTGGTCTAATCTCTAATGATCATACGGCAATTAAGGGGAGACTACTATGAGTTTTAAAAGTCGCGGGTTATTAGAATGAGATTTCTCATACATTGAGTTATTAGTGCAAAAAACTAATTTTTTATTGTTCTTTTACCCCGCAAACACTTAACATGTCGAAAATAGTGCAGGGCCTCCAATTTTTGAACTACAAAGGTTTTTTTAAATTTTTTTTGGAAAAATGTATGTAATAACATTTACGAATTAGTTTTTTGAAATTCAACTTCTAAACAGCTAATATTGTTATTATTTTAATAAAAAATTGCACTATTTGTGTAAAATAGCCCGACAAATATTTCTGAAAGAATCAAGAATATATTTTAAATATTTTAAGGATAATTTTTCTGCCTATTTTACATGAATAGCGCAAATTTTAATATCAAACAAACGAAATTAGCTGTATAAGAGTCGAATTTCAAAAAAATAAAAACGTAATTATTATTGTACATATTTTTTCAACAATTTTGAAAAAAAAACTGTAGCTCGAAAATTGGAGGCCCTGGACTATTTTCAACATTTCAAGCGTCTGCGGAGCAAACGAACAATAAACAATTTTTTTACACTAATTATTCGTTTTTAAACATATATAATCGATTTTCAATGCATGAGAAATCTCACTCCAATATCCCACGACGTTTAAAACTCATAGTAGTCTCCCTTTAATTCGGCAAAATTTTAATTCAATCGTTGCAATTATATATCCGAAAACGTATGTTTTCCATGTCCCAAAAAAATAGAGAGTAGAACGAACAATGTCATACACAGAAAATGTTTGAAGACTGAATGATTCGATTGAAAGTGGTGATATACAGTTTTTATAAACGCAATGTGTTAAATTTTATTTTTCTAAAATCGTTTTCTCGAAAAAAATATTCGGAAATTAAATTGGATATTGCGCGCTTAAAAAATACTCTTGATCTATTTTATAAACTTTTAAATGGATCCCCCCCGTAAAAAAAAACAGAAATTCCCGAACTACTTGGATATTATTAAGGTTCAAATGAAAGAGACGGGGATCCACCAAATGTGACATTTTTCACATCTTATGATGTTCCACATTTTATGACGTCACATGATATTGTTGAATAGGATTTCGGAATGGGTAGAACGAAAACCAGGCTCATTCTTAATATTAGTTTAGAAGAAAAAGTTACAACTGATTGAGACATCTTTTATTGTTTATTTTTTAAATTTAGACTTTTGGGAGATCAACGCTTCTTGGGTCTCTGCGCACCTCGCTTTGGTCCTCCAAATTTTTTCCCACCTCCGAATTTTTTCCCCCCTTTTCCGAATTTTTGTTTTTGTTTTGAATTTGCTCTGAAATTAAGTAAAAAATGAGGAAATAATTATGATATGTCATATGAAGGTTTTTCATTCTTTGGAGGGATACTTACTCGTAACGTAATCGTTTCACTCCCTTTTTACTTGTGTCTGTTAAGTCTGAAGCGAATGATGATTTTGCACGCTTTTTCGGAGCTAAAACGAAAAAAAAAATGGATTAGTGAAATATGCAGAAAATAATTAAATTGATTGATGAATTTGTTAAGGGGATACGTCGGTGAAATTTCAGACTTCACTGGGCCTTGGGACCCATTGAACAGTTTGTGATATATGACGGAATGTGGGAATAACTCGGGAAAGTCGCGGACCCGACCGATTTTGCCCTGTATAACTACGAAAAACTACATTTTTTCCTGTTTTTACCTTCAAATGCTCCTTGCGCCGTAGTTTTCATACGATTTTAGCTTTTTTTTCAAGTGTTCGTTACACTCCAAAGAATAAAGTTAAGCATCTATTTTACTTTATTCGCAATAGATTATGAATGAATTTTGAATTTCATAAATTTTACTCTACTCTAGAGATGCGAAAAATTTATGAAATTCAAATAAGTTCCACTTGGTATCGAACTCGCAGCATTTCACACACTACACTTGCGTTTAGCCCTACTCGACCACCGACGTCGACCAAAAAATCTCTATCTTCAATTTTTTGAGTTATCTAATTCCTTAAGTTAATCCTGTAAAAATTCTGTTCACATCTCAAAGATATCGATATAGATAGATATATAATAATTTTCGAAGAGAGAATCTCTCTTCCTCCCAAAATTGTATCCTCCACAGAAAGTCCCCCAGAATCTTTCCATACTACCCTCAATTTTCTAAATATCGTCAAACCAACGAAAACTTGTCATCAACCAACCATTGCGTCCTCCCGTCCTCTCCTCACTCTCTACAACTGTCCTGATCTTTTTCATCCTCCCGCCCTTCTTGGCAGCCCTCGCCTGCAGGGCTGCCACCTTCGCCAACTCCCTATTAGCCCTCTCCTCTGCCGGATCCACCTCCTCTTTCTTCTTCCTCTTCTCCTTCTTCCCACCCTCCTCCACTAGATTGCTCGCCCCCTCCCGCTTGCCCTTTCTCGCCCTCTTCTTCGCCTTCTCACTCAGTCGCAATTCCTCCTTCTCAGCCTTCCTCTCCCTAGAACTCTGGAACCAGCCCCGTTTTCCCTCCTCCTTTTCCTTCAGCATCTTCTCAGCCCTATTCGCCTGGTTCTCCACCTTTGCAAGCTCTCTCTCAGCTCTCTCCTCTTCAAGAACCCTCTCCACATCCCCTTCCAGCCCCCTCAATTTCTTACAATACTTCTCCACAATATCAGGAGGAATAATCCTATTCTTCACTGGATTCTTGGCATGTTTGATTACATCCTTCACCAGTCCTCTCTCCTGTTCTCCAGCAAGACTCACGGACACACCAGCCCTCCCAGCTCGAGCAGTCCTTCCGACCCTGTGGATATAATGCTGGATCGTAGGTGGCATGACAAAATTAATAACGGTCTTAACGCCACTGATGTCCAACCCCCTAGCAGCAACATCAGTAGCCAATAAAACATCTATCTCCTCTTCCTTGAATTTTTTGAGGTTTTCCAACCTCTGAGGCTGGGACAAATTACCATGCAGCTCCCCCACCTTGATTCCCAACAATCCCAGAAGAATATGAAGCCTATGTGCCTGTTTCTTTGTCTGCACAAACACCATCACATGATCATGGAAAGTCCTGCAGATCAAGGCAGCTAGGATAGCTTCCCTATCTCCCTCCCGCTCCTTTCTAATCCTCACAAACTCCTGACGAAGATTAAAAGCAACATCCTGATTCGAGTCGACGAAAACCTTGACAGGCTTGTCCAGGGAGATTGTAGCAAGGTCTTTAACTTGTTCTGTCATCGTTGCGGAGAAGAGAATAGTCTGTCTGGTTCTAGCGCATTGTTTGACTATGTGTTTCATCTGCTCTGCGAAGTACTCGTCCAGCATTCGGTCGGCTTCATCGAGGATGAGAACTTCGATGCTGTCGAGAGAGAAGGTAGGAGTGTTCGTTAGATGATCGATCAGTCGTCCTGGGGTGGCTATGACGATGTCTGGATTCTTTCGGAGGATTGTCTCCTGAATTTTGAGGTCTAGACCTCCTACTGAGAGGCCTATTTCTACGGTTGTGAATTGGGAGAGTTGTTTCGAGACTTGGTAGACTTGAACTCCTAACTCTCGAGTGGGCACCAGGATGAGGACTCTGGTGACTGCTGGACCGTCTCGAGGCCGGTAGAGGAGACGTTCCAAAGTGGGAAGCATGTAGGCAGCGGTTTTTCCAGTTCCTGTGGCTGCACATCCGCAGATGTCTCGACCCATCAGAGCCACGGGAATCGTCGCCGCTTGGATTGGAGTCGGGGAGACAAAGTTCATGGCTCCTATGGCCTTTAGAAGAGGCCGGGAGAGGTTCATCTGGTAGAAAGAGGCGTAAGAGTCTGCAGTCGCGCACTCATCGAAATCCATCATCTCGGGTTGATTGAGGGATTTCTTTTTGCCTTTTGAGCTTTTTGTTTTGAAGGTGTCCTTGCGGAGATCATCCTCGGAAAGGTACGGGCCAGAATCGTCGGATTCCTCCTTAATTTCTGGCTCTTGGGGGTCTGCAGAGTTCTCCAGGCGAATTCGCTTGATCTTGTCATCGAGCTTGGTTTTGGCTTTTCGTTTTATGTACTTATTAAGGTCGTCCCATGTGTCGTGGTTGTAATCCAGATCGTCCGAGAGGAAGTGAAAGCCATTGTCGAAATCCTTGCGTTCTTGTTTCTTCTGTCTTCGAGGCTGATACTGAAAGAGGATTTTCTTTTTATAATTCGAGTGTAAGTGTGACGTGTGGTGTCTGACACACGTTGGATTAAATATTATTTTAATTTTTTCAACTCAAAAATGTTTTAAAACCGAGAATGATCAGCAAGGTAAACATTCTTACGGGTGTTACAAGAGTCCGACTTCTGAAAGGAAGACGTTAAACTGTCTTGGGGCATTGTCAATGACGACGCCAACACAGTCTTAGTCGTAAAAAACCGTGAAAACGCTTATCTAAACATTTTAAGGTAAGACAGAATATGAGAGGAGTTGGACTTGAACGGATGTCCACTTCTCGCCAAAAATCTTGAGTAAATAGTTCTGCGCGTGATACCCAATCCAATTAGTGATCATCTGATTTTATACTATCGATTCCATTCAACTAATATACTTCAATTATAATTAAATGGTGTTCGATTATTAAGAAGAAACTTGTATTAATCCTGCCCTAAACATTCCTAAATGAGCGAACTCCTCATGAGTTCGTACCGATCACAATTTTTTTGAAAATTTTTTGGTTGTATGGTAGCGCTTTAAAGTTTGCGGACTTTTACGAACACTAAAAATCGGGAATTTTTTCGGTTTCTCACTGCGATAAAAAATCAACTAATCAATTTAAGTACTTGAAACTACGTATTGGATGACTAGAATATTTATATTACACGGTACAATTAATCTCGTATTTTTAAGATTTTTTTTTATCGAGTTACAGACCGTTGTTTCGTGTAGTTTCTACTTTTGACACCGACAGTAGTCGGCATAGTCTTCAAGTCGAATTGATTAAGGGAGGACTAAAATCTCCCACATAAAAAAGAGAAACATTCTTCAATGAAGAATATACTACTGCTTGAGATCGATAATACCGAAATTCTTTATATGTATATATATTTTGCACGCAATTACAACTGGCCTCCGCTACATCAAACAGACGTAGTCGCCTCCGATTTTTGAAAAATTTTCGGTCCCCCGCTCGAAAAACATACTCCTTCCGGGTTAAATACCTCTGGGTTTTAACATCGTGAAATGTGTGTGGTGCGCGTAGCATCATAATATTGGAAAATAAACCCAATATGGAGGAAATTGCAAATTAATAATTTGTTGTATTTAGTGGCTGCTGTTAGGTCTTCATTTGTCGCAATAGTCAATGACTGTCAGATCCTTAGTTACCATGATAAAGTTCCATTCACTATTTCCTCTCTATCGGACTTATTTCTTAACCTTTATTAAAAACGCTCTTTGAAAATGCTCAGTTTTTTTTCTACTTTTTTTGATTGTACAATCATAATTTTGAGGGACTCTTGTGTGATGTAAAATGCAATGGAAATTGTGATATATTTTACATTATGGAGATGGAAAAACAATCGAGACAGCGTTCGAAAGATGATCCACTCGGGCCTTAAACGATTTTCAAGGTTTTGGCCCCTTTCGATTCCTTGGGTTGATCCTTTGAATCTCTTTGGAGTTGGCTACTTGATCACTTTTTCAAGGATTCAAACAAGTCCCAAGAACTTCCAGTTTCATCGCGACAGATCAAGAGACTTGTAGGGCGCAATTCCATTGCCTTCCCGACACGTGTCTCTCTCCTTGGGAAGAAGATTGATCGACTCAAATTTGTCCTACAAATCGTCCACTGAATTAGGGGGTCTCCGCAGTACTTTTGGGTAAAATATGACAATGTGCTTGCGAATTAAATATATCATATAGTAATCAAAAGTGTTAAAAAGGTATTTGTAAAAGCAAGTCTAACTACTTTTATGGTTTCGTTCGTGTTTAATTAATTATTCAAATTGCGCCTTATACACAACCTTTATGGACGCTACTTTGTCCCATACCCCTCACACTGTTGACAATGTGCTAGCCAGCAAAGGAAGCTAAATTGTTCTATATTAAGCTCTAAACAATATGGACACGAAGTCCCATTGGGTCTTATCGTTGATTTGTTCAATAAATTAATGATAAAAATACTATGGCGATGTCTGTCATTATCCAACATACGCCATGTTTGATGTCCCGCCTCTCTCGAAACTAACCTCACTAACTTGACTATTTCACACTCCACTCACCCACGCGCCAACGCAACTGCAGAGACCCCTTAAATCATTTCGAAGCTTTATCGGGTGAATTTGTCTATTAAAAGAGGATAATCGACAGAATTTCATGACACATGATTTACTTCAGAAATTGTTTTCTAGCGTATATGAAAAAACGGAATTGAAAGCCGAACTATCTTATAGCGGGATTTATGGACATATGCTTTGAAATATAAGGGAGGGTGGGATAAAATGGACACTTTTGATTTTTTTTTAATGTTAAGGACAGTTTGAATTGTTAATAAAATGGAATTTTTTGTCAAGGAAAAGAACAATTCTTTCCCTTTGTGATGAGCCGAAACTGATCTCAATTGATAAATCTGTTTCTGAATTATAAATATTTTTTAAAACGTCACAAGTGTCCATTTTATCCCACCCACCCCTAGGTCTGATTAATAGTTGACTAATTATAACAATTGTTTGTTCAGGTCAACAATACATACGTCATCTTCCTCATCTGAATTTTCTGAGAAATTCTCCACCTCTGCATCCTCCTCGATTGTTTTAATCAAATCAGCCATTTTTGTTGATCACAATTTACAATTTAAAGTAATTATCTTTATACGAATGTAACAAATATAAATAAAATAGTAGCTTGGAGGTTACCGAATGGACATATGGCAATGTTTCCAATAGATATAGGTAGGTAAATGAGATCCCTCACTTACCCAAGGAGCACAAATGTCCACAAAATATCTGTAGATAATCTTGTTACTGTTACGTTCCGAAGCTGGTTCAGAGATAATAGGGGAGATTGCTCAGGCTTATGGGAACTGTTCGATCAGAGTTTCATAGCGGTGACGCGCATGAACTAATCGAGAGGCCGTCTCTGTGGGTAAAGAAATTTTCATCTATTACCATGGAAACAGTCGATAACAGGGAAGCGTTCCCAATCTTAAATCCAACATGAAACCTCCTTTGCATTCACTCATCCGCTTGATTATCCCATTTTCGTTCATACAACTTCTTATTGTCTTAATTTGTAAATTAGTTGATCATAAAGGAGAGGGAGAGAAGGAATTATGAAGTCTTGAGCGAAAGAGGATCATTTATTTGAATTTCTATACAACTAGATCTTTAAAAAAAAAAAAAATACGAGCAATTCATCTTATTCACATTTATTACATATTTTGTCAGTGATACAAAGGTAATGAATGAATTTCAAATTATTTTGATGAGAAATATATTCAATATTTGTGAGAGATTATATCTCAACAAATCTCATACACATAATGGGATTAAATCAATAATAATAGATTAACGAATGAGACTTTTCGCAGATTATTGCGAGATTTAAATGAATGGTTTGCATTCTTCAGTGACCATAAAAAATTGTCTCCAATCGACAATATCTCCCGATGGAATGGAACGATGTGAATGAATCACTTGATACTTAAGTATCCATTTGAATCTTTAAAAAATTAATCGAGAGGGAAAAAAAATTATGGAATTTAACTCTGCCATTATGGAGTTTTTGACGAGTGAAGTTTATTCACTGTACTCTGACATTTCTCTATTGTCTGTATTTACCGAGAAAAAAAAACGTTGTTCCTAGGAATCGATGTGTCTTTTTTAGGCAGCTGCATTTCTGAAATGCAATGAGCAAGCAATGTTAAAATTAAGTCATTTTGTAAAAAATTTCTAGTGACATGATCCTGAAAATCAAAGGAATGTCTTGAAATCAGGAATGAT